TATATTAAACAAGCTAACACGATTACCCACAAACTGATAGGTATATATATATATATATGAGATGTATATATTTACATTTATATATCCATTCTATACATATATTACGGATGGATGAATAACTGAAGTATCTATGCATACATATATATAAGCCGATTTACCTAAATACACTATTTTCTCGTTAGGTAATAGGAACATACACACATCAATATATATAAATAAGAATATCATCATACATAGTAGAATGTATTCAATATAGAATAATTATTGTTATCTATTTTACATTAGAGATAATGCTCAAGTGAATTGAATCCATGTAAATAGTAAAATATAGTTCACATAATGATTTCTGATCATTTCTGTGTAATTATAGTTTTATTCACGTGTTAATGACAACATAGACGAATAATACATAGACTATGCAGTTTCTATATTAAGTACTCTAGCACTATACTGTCATGATGACAATGGTTTAATAACTAATGGTTTATCGTGTTCTTTAAAATGTCAAATTGTTTAAATTATCATTATATATATATATTATATATATATATTATATTATATATATATATTATATTATATATATATATATATATATATATATATATGATTATTGTTACTAAGTGCAATAAATAAGTATAGGAATTGAAAATGGAGCCGAAAAGGTAAAGTACAGATTACTTATCCCAGCAGGTGATACTTTATTATATAAAAGGTATAAAAGATCAGTATTTATTGAGAATAATGTAACTTTCGTTTTCTCATGAGGATATATAATGTGAGGTTTTTTGATTACTAGTAGAAAACAAATCTTATTAACGATTAATACAGACGATACATCAAACAGAAACAAAGCCATGGAAAGTAAAAATAATGTAGTTTTACTAATCAATAATTCATAGAATTACTTGTCACGAGGTGGTTTTCGTAATTCTTCGTTGAAGCTACTATCGCTGTAATTACAAAATCAAAATACTAGAGATAAATTCACCAAGGTAATATCCTGGCATAATAATCATCATAATTATACAAGAAACCGATCAATCATCTTGTTTTGAAATGTGATATACTGATCGAGAATTCGTGACGCTATACAGATCCTCTAAACCAAATATAATTCAGTGTAGATAATTCAAACAAAATTTACTAGTTCCTAGACTATTGAATTTCTTTTCACACTGATATTAAAGTGTATTATAGTTTATAATAGATACCAGAAAAAAACTCTCTTGGCTATTTTCTTGACATCAGTGTTATAGACATAAAATTAAAATTATACATTCATTAAACAATTGATTTAACGACTATTTTAGTCACTTAATTTAGACCAGATGAAGAACTAATGTAAACTATGAGGGATTGGGAAGTGATTTTGTTCTGGTTTAAAACTGTAGAATTGTACACTAACGACTCAGTATGAGAGGAAACCAAAGAACCTCGTATTTCGTACTGATCACCATCGTATTCAACCATCTTATTTTGAATGTTGTAATGTGAATTTACTACTCCAGTTGTGATATAACATGATTTTCATCCGGTAACATCAATTAACTACTTAATTAATATTGATTTAATAGACTTCACAAGTTTTTAATATTAACTCAATGGTATAGATATATCATTGCTTAACTACTGACCAAAAGATTTAAAGTTTCATCCTATCCTGGAGCATGTATATATATATACTTTTAACTAGTACTTGAGCAGGGAAAAATGACTGTAAATTCCTTTCTCATTTTCAGTGATTCTCTATGTGATATCAATTTGTAACCAAAATCATTCAAAATATACAAGAATTTCTTTATAAACACTGAACTAGTTTGTAGATTTTTCATCCTTAAACCATACGACCCATATTCTCAGTATAACTTCCTTAAACTTATTGTGTTTATCATTTATACATGTAAAACAACAAGTTATATTTCAATAGTCCACCATTCAGTAATTTTAATTTTATTCATGATTTGTTTTAATCATAAAATGATTACAATTTTTTAGAAGTGGGGTTATGTGGAAATTTCAGTAATTTTATATAGTTGAGATCATGAGTCAATTGAAGCTAGACCAACATGGAAAACCTGGAAGCACTGGACGGCCGTTTCGTTCTGTTTTAGTAGTTCTCAACAGTGCGCATTCACAATCCCGCCTCACGACATTCGAACCCAGAACCTACCAGCCTCACGCCAGAGTACTTAACCGATAGAACACTGAACCGGTATCCAACGGTGTTAATGTCTAACCTCAACCAATCCACGAGATGGCGCAACAAACTTCTATTGTACTGAGGTAGATACCTGTCTCCACCTGACATGGATTAGCTCCATTGGTCACGACTTCTCACTAGAACTCCAGGAAATACCTCATGGAGTCAATCACTAGTGAGCTTATGATCATTATCAGAAGGGGGCTTTGTGGAGATTTTAGTAATTTTATATAGTTGAGATCATTAGTCAATTGAAGCTAGACGACCATGGAAAACTGGTATGTCCTGGGTTCGAATCTCCCGAGGCGGGATCGTGGATGCGCACTGCTGAGGAATCCTACAATTATTTTTTGTTTTGTTGTTGTTATGATACATTGTTATTAATAATGACAGTGAATTAAATGAATGATAATTAATATTATTAGTCTACTAGTTTACTATCAAAGTTTTCATGGATATTAGATATATTTCGTTTGATCTAATAATAATAAAACAAAATTCATTCGACTTGACTACGTCTATGTCTACAATCACAAAAAAAGAAGTAAAAAAAAGAAAAAGAAAAAAGAGAAAAGTATATTTTCAATAAAGATTTTATTAAATAAACATACAATTGACTGAGAAATAATTATTTCTGCAATCATTATTAGACGTAATGTAAAAATGATAGTCTGTCATCATCGTACATTGAATTATCTATATGTATTCAAATGTGTGAAGATGAAAGCGAAAGTAAATTGACTTGTATCTTACATATAGATCACGTAGGGTTTTTTTGTTTTAAGCATAAGTATGATTTTTTTCTATACTTTGACTGTGAGAATTATTTCTAATTTAATTGATTATTATAATGATGAACTGTGAAAATAATTAATTGATTCAGATATAAGGGGGGGGGCTAATTAACATTTATGATTGTTGGATAATCGTTTTTCTTTCTTTTTTCTATTTTTTTTCTCTTTTTTCCGAAAAAAAGAAGGATAACTGTCATTGTAGTCTTGAAAAAAAACATGTGACATGATTTTTCTTGGGAAAGATTTATGGTAAAAAAAGCTAAAAAATATGTTGTCATATGACCTGATTATTAGAAAAATTAAAGACTTTAATTCTAATTTCATATTACAATATGAACTTGTCATTAGTAATATAATTAAAATAGTTATGTCTAATATTTTGATTAATGAATTTTGTCTGATTATATAAAATACTAAATGAATAGTTTCCATGTAGTAATAACTTATTTGTGTTCTATTCAATAATTTTATAGTTTATAGTTGTTTCTTTTCAATGTTCTACAAAATATAAGTTTAGATAGTGCAATTCTTATCAGTTTTGCGCACGAACGCTTACACCCAAACCACTGAGCCGGCATCCAACAGTGTTAATGTGTAACTTCAACCAATCCATGAAATTGAGCAACCGTCCACCATTGTCTTGAGTGCCAGCTCAGTGATCTAGAGGTTAAGTGTTCGTGCACGAGACTGATAGGTCTTGGGTTCGAGGCTCTTGAGGAGGGATCGTGGATGTGCACTGATGAGAAGTCTCACAATAGGACGAAACGGCCATCCAGTACTTCCAGGTTTTCCATGGTGGTCTAGCTTCAATCGACTAACGATTTTAACTATAAAACTGACGTTTAATTGTATGTGAAGAAAAAATTAATTCGAAGTTACTATAAAGTGGTTTGAAATAATGTGATAGGTTAGTTAGTGAGTTTCCATAGATCCATACAATAAGTACAAAACATGCTAAGATGTTAATTTAATGTCAAAACTAGCTAATATTAGATTTTTTTTTAAAAACAATCAGGAAGATTGAATGTGTTAGAGTGTTACTTTGTCCTAACCTGGAACTCTTAAACAGTACACATTGCTGACTTAACATGAGATTAAGCCTAAGTCTCACGTTGACCATGATACTTTCAGACTACCGAGTTGAAGTCTTATAGCTCGTACTTCTGATGTCAAACAGTTTATGGTATTGTACGTCCCTCATTCATTGAATTCCAATCAAGTAGTCTAAGTGTATTACTCGTGACACTATATCTGAATGTGCTGAAATTAGTTCTTTGTAAATTTGTGAGCATATATTATAGAAAAATCTCCAACTGTAGTGAACAAAACACTGGTTGGGGACAATCGAATGTATTTAAGCAAAGATTACAGACTATCTCGGTAAATTCTGATAACCAAACAATGAACAGTCAATTTGCAAATTAATAACCAATTGTTTCAATCTTCACTGTTTCTTCTCTAATTCCATTGCTCATGCATTTTCCAAACGATTGCGCTTCATTTCAGTTCTTTCCTCATCGGTCTTCTGCCAAAATACATTCTATGTCTGACCCACACCATATACTACTTATATAGATGTAAGTAGACCACACCACACAACTAGTCCATGACGATAGTTGATTGCTCACTGATTGGAGTAGTTTATCCAGTGAATGTAAACTCACGATGAAATTCACCTTCTGATCTATATTCATCATGAAGTATTTTCTGAAAATCTCTGTGTTAAATTTATCAGTTCATCTAATCAGCAATGACTTACACCTTATGTGTGAAGACTATTGGTAACATTTACGATAAAAGTATATAAAGAGGTCTGATGTCAATCGGTTTATTCACTAAATTTCTACTTCATGAGTAAGTGATATACTACAACATACTCAAAAGCATTTATCTATTTACAATTAAATCAATCAAATTTTGCTATTATTTATAGGTTAATTCTTATCACAAAAATAGAAATGGCCATATATGTATATTGTGGTGACATTGAAAATTTTATTTTATAGGTTTGGTTCCAGAATCGTCGTAGTAAAGAACGACGTATGAAACAGTTGAATGCTCTTGGTACACGTCGATCATTCTACAGAAATCCGAGGAGATTACGTGGTATAAGATCAGGGATATTATCCAATGAGCTGAACTCAGGAGGTCCAGGTGATATAATAACCAATTCTGCTTACCATGAATATCTAGTAGGACCTAGTCCCGTAAGTATTATTTATTTAAACATTATTTTTACTGTTGTGACTATGGCATATGCAAAAAGTATTATAAAAGTTTTGTATTTCAATAAATTTGGAAAGCTAAAATTTGTACGACATATTTAGCGAAGAATACAAGAGTGTATACTTGGAATTTTATAATCCTATCTTCCGAAAATGATTACAGAATGTACGCCAATTTATAGGTATGATAGGCTTATACAAAAGAGTGACAACATTAAGAAATATACGTAAATCACCCGGACAGATGTGATTTATAATTCATTTTGGTTAAAGCTATGTGACAGTTGTGAATTACTGTTAAGCATCAGATAGATGTGAAGCGTATAACCAATGACAAATTCATTCTTAAGTACAACATGAATGGAGGAAGATACACTGTAATAGTCATAATTTTTGTAAGTATAGGGCTGTTATTTGTTAGTAAAATGGTAATTTATGTGAAATATGATCAGATATACTTATAAGGTGCCGTAATAACAACGTCATGGGCGTCTTAAAATAGTGAATGTTAGACGTTTGTCAAAGAGGGTACACCAGACTTGTTAATTACCATAGTTAAGGCCGGTTTCTCCCACAACCTCTGTCTTTATTATTTACTAACAGTCATTGTTATCATTCGGGATTGTAGTATATTTATTGTGTAATGTGTTTAATTTCTTGGAGATATGTAAAATATAATAAATGTTATATTAATTGAGGCAAGATGGTGGTTGGAGGTGGTCAACAGGAAATCCTGGACACGGGTTTCGTGCTACTTGGCTCTCGTCAGCAAGGTGTACCTGTAATCCTGAGGGAACTGATGCTCCCTGACGGATTCGATCCCGCGTCACTCAGCTTCACAGTCAGAGACGTTACCACTGAGCTATTCGGGTCGCGACCAACCTCCTGTAGGACTGAGATGTAATGACAATTGATTGATCACTGGGTTTCGTGCTACTTGGCACTCGTCAGCTGACGAGGAAACCCGGGTCCAGGGTTTCCTGTTGACCACCTCCAACCACCATCTTACCTCAGTATATGTAGTGCAAGCAGTGTCGAGCCACCTAGACTGGTGGCCACATTGCAACTCAATCGATAGCATTCGATCAGCACTAAGAAGGACCTGACATGCATGAGATTGATCACCACCCAGTGATCAATCAATTGTCGTTATATTAATTCTTTACATTCTCGTCAACCACATGTAAGGTGATGAATTTAACTACTTCTAACATTCTTGAAAATTTTAAAAATGAGTGGGAAATGTTTCGGAAAGCACAACCGTCAAAAGAGTTAAAGAGTTAAAAGAGTTTCGAAAGTTTATTTGAGTAATGCAAGCGATGGTCCTGAAGTATTCTAGATAATCTGTTCTGATAATGTATGACCAAGATAATTCAAAATATCACAAGAAGATAAAGTTTTTGTTCTGAAGTGAAGCCCATTCGATTATTACAAAAATGAAAAAGAATAGTATAAATGTTTTATATTATTAGTTTCTGTCATTATTACAATTAAAGTTAAATTAAATAGTCTTTTGATACAGTGTCCATGTCAAACTCTTCTAACTCCTAAGGCTCCTGAAAATGTAAACAGCGTGTGAGTATAGTTTAATTCACTAAGTAACTCCATTCAAACAACTACTGAAAGCGACAAAGCGCTGGACAGCTGTTTCGTTCTAATGTTGCGGAGTATTATGCTATAATGGTTGTCTAAGTACAATCAGTCCATGACGTAAGGTACAAAGATCAACATTTTCCATAACTCTTTCTCGATTAGTAGAGTTTATCAGTAACCCTGAATCCACGTGTTATGTCTATATACAGTTCAATATACAAGACTAGATGCAAATTAAATATAAGTGCCATTTACGTCTATAAGATGTGCACTTTATGGAATATTTTTAGTTATAGTATAAACACTCTGCCATTTCGTCTTTCATCAACTTAAATTAGGCGTTTAACAGTGAGGTTAAGCGAAATACTGTCACGCTGCTTAGCTCATTGGCTAGGTTTAAATGTTCAATTATTAAACCATGTTGGTTACAAGGCAGTTGATTACCGAAAACAATGAAAGATGGTCGCGTGATGTCGCGGATTGGTTGAAGTTAGACACAAATACCACTGGATCTCGGCTGAGTGGTCTAGATGTTAAGCACTCGCGTGTGGGACTGGAGGTCATGGACTCAAATGCCACGTGCGGAATCGTGGATGCGCATTGCTAAGGAGTTTCATCCTAGGACGAAACGGGCATCCGGTACTTCCAGGTTTCCAATGATGGTCTAACTTAGATCGGTCCATGATTTCAGTAATACTAATTTTTTAATTTACAGTCTGAAAATTAATACCACTTAATTTCTAATCAGATAATCAACACTTAAAGGAATTAGGGAACTGTATATAATGAAGCTAAAAATAAACCATATAGCAACAAGAAAATTACAATAAAAATGAATTCACCAATTCTTTTGGATTTTACAGAATTACGTAATGTCCTAAATATTCTATATTTTTCTGTTTTTGAAGGATATTTACAATGCCATTGCTTCGGCTTCTGCAATCGCATCAGGTGTTCCTTTTAATTTGCCTGGTGCAATTCCTAATCTGACAGTAAATTACCCTCTCTCACAAGCACATCCACTCCCTTCAAGCGATTCGCTGATCTCAGGTACAACAGCACACTTATTGAACAATGATACAGGATCTTTTCACAATGATAATACATCACATTTCAATCCTAATCCATCTCATTTAACACAAAATTTTCCATCAAATTCACTTAATTGTCTTCCGTATAATCCATCAAATTTATCTGGTTCAAGTGGATTTCGTGATGAAATAAAATCAGATTTATTATATACTCCATCTTATTTTCCTTCATCATCTTCATCGTCAACATCATCAATGTCTTCTCAACAATTAATAAAATTTCCACTTTATAATAATAATAATCATAATTGTTCACCAAATGGATCAATATTTTCTTTATCTGATCCTAGAGATTATCATTTATCTAATTTTCTTGAAAGTAATAATAATAATAATATGAAATCATATAATTCAACATGTCAACCTAATTCATTAACAAATCGACCAGTTTATAATTCAACAGGAATCAATTTTAGAAATGTACCTACACCAATATTTGATGAAATGACATGTAGACCTAATTTAGTATAAAAAAAATGGATGATTAGAAATTCGTTTCTATATTAGTAATATGATAAGTTCTTCAATTCATTGAATTGATATAGATCAATGCAAATATACATTTTGTTTGGCACTAAATTTTACATTACGGATTGTACATAGCTCTTTATTGAAGTATTATCTAAGTGATTTATAATTAATTTCCTTGGTGAATATAAGAATGAAGTGAAAAGACATGAAAAACACTAAATGAAGATTTTGTAAATACCAGTTTTGCATATTTATACATACACACACACACACGTACATTTATCTTAATGGGCACAGATACTGATTACCATTGATATAATTCGATTATTATTATTATTATAATCAAATAGTAGTATGTATGTATGTATGTTTGAAGGGAATTTTTTTTAGGTAGCTCTCTTTCCTTTTAACTTTTACCATTTATTGTAAAGTGTAGTTTTTATTGTGTTTTTGTTGTGATATTGGCTATAAGCTGTGATGTAAATGACAAGATATTTCTGAATAAAAATCTGATTATGGTATTTATATAGTCTTGATTATTTTCTGATATGTTTAAAAACGTAATATTTTAAAAAATAATTGAACAAAATATCATATTCACTTAGTATTGTTAGTTTGTATCTTCTCACTGACGTTTAGGACTGAAACTGGTCGGTCTCTTATTGCCATATGCGCATACCGTGCGTATTGCCTCCATATAGCCTTAATTTGCAAGCATTATAAGCAAAGATGGATAGTGTCTAGCAGTGGAATCTAAGATGCGCGTTTGGTTTTATTTGGGACTCGTCATCTGGATGTACCTGCATCTCAGAGTTGATGTTCACTCTGGGACTGAACAGTTACAGTCCTAAACATCAATGGGAAGATTCAAACAAGTAATACTAAGTGAATTCAAACTTCATCCCATTGCACAAGCAAGTGGATATCAGGACTCAGTGGCTGAGTGGATAACGCGATGGCGTTTGAAGCGAACTGTACTGGGTTCGAGACCCAGCATGAAAATCAACTTTGAGACGCAGGTACGTCCAGTTGACGAGTCTCAACTAGTATGAAACGCACGTCCTGTATTTCACTGCTAGCCACTATCCATCTTTGCTTAAAATATCATATTTTCTCTATTCATTAAAAATGATTAAAGTCTGTTGAACCTAATTAGATCTTGACAATTAAATGAAGCTTAACTTAAGCAAAGATAAACTGATTTTTAGATCTAAAAGAATCCATCCTACTTTGAGGATTTTCAGCAGCCGCAAACGTCTTGAAGATAAAAAAAACAACAATAACATACTTAGAAACAATGGTTTGTTGTAAATTAATTAATGAAATTGATATTTGAAAAAAATTCGAAATTCATAATGAGTATAAGAATATTTTATATAGTTAAAATCATGAGTCAATTGAAGGCAGACCACCATGGAAAAGCTGGAAGCACTGAGGAGTCCCACAATAAGACGAAAAGGCCGTCAAGTGCTTCAAGGTTTTCCATGTTGGTCTATCTTCACTTGACTCATGATCTCAACTATATAAAATTACTAAAATCTCCACAAAACCCTCTTCTAATAAGAAGATTTGCTAATTTGTTTTTCAAATTAATAAAACTGTTAAACCTCCGGCAGGACTGAGATCTTTATAATTAATTGATCACTTAATGGCGATCAATATCATGTTTGTCTAATCCATTCAATGGTAACTGAAACCTTTCGATCTATAACTTTCAACTCACTAAATCAATAATTTTATAAACCCTGAAAATTTACAAATTTAAACAATGTAAATTGATTTCACCAATTTTAGATAAGAAATATCCATGATATTAATTATTATCACCTATATGATTTCTTCACAAAAATATAGATAATAGTAGATGATAGTCTAGGACTATAAAAACTGATAGTTTCAAGTGTAATCCATCATTGAAAAATAACTTAATGAGTAATTAAACATAAAAATATGTAATTTCAATAGATGAAATCATGAGTCAATTGAAGATAGATCACCATGGAAAACCTGGAAGCACTAGATGACCGTCTCGTCTTATTGTGGGACTATTCAGCAGTAAGTATCCACGATCCCGCCTCACGAGATTCGAACCCAGGATCTTTCAGTCTTGCGCGCAAGCGCTCAACCTCTAGACCCTTCTGATATAAAAATATGTGTTTAATAAAATAAATCTTTCAATTATATAAATTCTTGCCAACTACTTCATTATAATAAGAAGGTGTAGAACATCGGGAAAATTTTTCTTTGAATATTGTGTAAAAGTTCTTCATGTTTCTCTCTATTTGATTATTATGAAAATTGGAAAGTATTATCATATACAGTAACAATAACCAATAAAGTCGATTACATAGAGCAATGAAAAAAAATGAAGAAAAACTGGCACACTTTTTTTTCTTTTAAATCTTACCAATATCGTCAGGTGTTCAATTTACATGCAATGATAATAGACCAGTTGTTCAACAATTGGTAGATCAATCTTCCCTGTGGGGATAAATAATGTTAAACAGCAGGTCAGTGGAGATATACTTTCTTTTTTTCTGTCTGATTTACAACTGATATAATATCATGCGTATTTATAGTACAAAATGTTTTAATGTCGCTGTTTTTTTTTCAATCATAAGAAAAATTAACACTCTTAGCTTGGACAATTTTACTCAGCAGGATTTTCTCATGAATATTATCTTCATATTGAATGAAGAAATAATTAAGTAGTATAGGTAATTGTTTAAAATACAATAGTGATATCATCTGTATATTTTTCTGTGTAGATATTTGTATATAACTTTGTATACATATATATGGAAAGATAAAAACAAAACAAAACTGTACAACATTCTGATGATACCAAGATAACAGGCAGTAATACAGCTAGAAACATGATGACAAATGTAACATGTTTAAGGGAGTAAGTAATCTGTTTGGTTTAACTGTTGGAAAAAAGTAATTTGAATTTAATACTTATCGGCTTACAAAATATGCATGATGAAAATTTTTGAAACGTGTATCTTTATACAGCTGCTCATTATGAAATTCCTGTGGAAAAATAATTGAAAAAAAGTATTATCTTACAAGTAATCTGGATGTAGAATAGAGTCGTACAATGTAAAACATTTATTTAAACTAGAAATTGTTCTAGTTCAGATGTTTACAACCATAACAACGTAATCTGATTTAGGTATCAGTGTGATACATAGTATACTAATAAATAACTTTATTTCTTTCACATCAAGGGAATAGATCGACGAAAACATGAATATAGAAATGTGATTCCTACCCAAAGTTATAAAAAGTTTACCATTTTTAATAATTCGTTTACTTGTTGAGATTCTTTTGATTTGATAAATTACAATGCATCTATCTTGGGATGATGATAAACCATCGTTTGTTCTATACTTTACTGGTTTAAAATCACATGGAATACAGCTAACCAAGAAATATTCCTCAAAAGGATATATTCTGTTATGATATTCGTTTATTATTCTTTGTACGCTTAGTTTTTCACTCATCTACATTGGAAATTATAATTTTTTTCTAAAAAAAAGAGTTTGAAGACAAACTTCATCAAAAAATGATATTAATTTTGGGACATTGAAAAGCCTTTTTGAGCTTGATATTTTCACAAACTGAAACCAGCGTTATGCCACCCAATTACAAAGTCAGTACTCAGTGATTTATACTGTTTAACTTCAGGAAACCGGTGACATAAAGTGAACATCATCGAGGACCAACATTAAGTTATGCCAATAGATCACTGCCCGGAGTGGAACTTTTATAAACACAAAAAATTGTCATTCACTCTCCAGGAGCTGCACTAGAAATCACTCTAAAAATAGATTGCACACATCAATATTGGTGCGCTCTTTTTATTAAACTTTTTTTTATCGCGTACCGTCATATCCTATAAATGAAGAGCTTTCTTCATTGACCAAAACGTCTTTCAATATGATGAAGTCATTTGTACGTCATTTCAAACTTTACGTAGTATAGAAATCAGTTTTTAACTAAATATCAGTTCACGTTGCAGAAGACGAATAATGTTTCTACTAAACGTTTCAGAAAATGAATAGAAACTTTCGTAACTAGTCATTTTTACTACTTAAAACTTGTATTGAATCACATTCAGGGTGAATTAGAACATAACTGTATCAATCTCTCTGATATTTTGAAAAAACCTTGAAATCCTTCAAAAGTTTTACGTTTGTCCCATTTAATTAAGAAACTAAGATGGTCATGATACTGTAAATGATGGATTTCGACTTGTTTAAGGAAACCAACCTATCGAATAAGCACATATACTGTTTCAGAACTAAGTCAGACTTTAAAAGGACTGATTTTTTTTTAACATTAAGCAGTTCTGTCTTTTTATGTTGATGTGATTTTTACAGCACTACGAATTAATGCCGTGTTATTAGAAAAATTTCATAGATTATTAAAAAGGTGCTTAAATTAATGTTGTACTTACAAATCAAATGAATGTATTTGGAATGAAGTTTAATGCTTCAAGGAACTAGCAGCAATTTTTCAAAGAAGACCTAGATTTTTCAGATTTTTGCTTAAATATACAAACACTCAAATCACATATTGTTTACAGAAAACGTATCGTCTGGTTGATTATGTCTGCCATACAACTTCTATCTTTTTTGCCTTTCTCAGCTCAATGATGTTACACAAACCATTTGTTCGTTTTAGTAATATTTACTCGATTTGGATATGAAATCAATCCTGACTAGGGTGGAGTTAGTCTAAAGAATTTTTTCTTTTGGACGTTTACTCTTCATTCAAGCTAAGTCATCAGTTAATCTAAATAATTTTCTATTTCCATAAAAGATTAAATTATTACAATAATTTGGATAAAAGTTTCATCCGTATTCATTATAGTTTATGAGATTACATTTGTTTAAAACACATTTCTCATTGCAAATAACACAGTACATTTCAAAAAATAACTAACTCTGCATCATGTTTCCAGCTTTTTGATTGTTATCTGATTTTAATTTTAG